TGGGTGGGTGGGTGAGTGGGTGGGTGGGTGGGTCCCCGGCGGGCTGCGCTGTGGTGTCGGCAGTCGGCCTGCGCGCTATCTACCTGGAGTGCCACCACCACCACGACCACCACCCAATCATCATTGGGTGCTCACCTCGATGCGCCGCCAATCCACCGGGGACAGTTTGGAGCTTTGCGGGCCTTATCCTGCTGTTCAGTGCTGCATCTCGTAATTGTTGTTGTGACTGCTTATCCTCCTGGGAGTCGTTTTTGGTTGGTTGGTTGGTTGGTTGGTTGGTCTGCGTGGAAACCACCATCTCCCGAGCGCCCCGGGGACACCCAAACCATTCCGCAACTCCGTCACATGCAAACATACAGACATACACACGCGTGCATGAGACGTACACACGGTATGTATGTATGTATGTGCACATGCGGCTGTGTGCATGTACACGCAGGTGCGCCTCTGGGCGCAGTGGGCGGAGCAGGAGGCGGCGGCGGCTCGGCTCGCTGCCGGCCTAGGTCCCCTGGAGCCATCACAGGAGCTGATCTGGGAGTGGCAGCAGCGGCAGCAGCGGCGGCGGCCGGGAAGAAGGGAAGGCGGCGGCGGCGAGGGCGATGAGGCGGAGGGGGGTTGGCAACCACCACCGGAGTCCGGACCGGGGGGGCCCCGGGGGGCGGCTCCGTGAGTCCCACCGCCCGGGCACCCTACCTGCCTACCTGCCTACCTGCTCCCCACCCGCCATGAGATGTGGAAGGTGGTGTTGTTGGAGGAGGAGGAGGAGGAGGAGGGAGTGGAGGAGGGAGTGGAGGAGAAGGAGGAGGATGTTGGCTCCTATGAATCAATCTGTCTAGCAAAACCGCCGATTGCTGCAGGGGTACCACCCACCCTAACACTGCTGCAGCTGCTGCTGCTGCTGACACGAGTACGCAGGCCGCCTGGAGGACTCCGAAGCTTGGGACGGCAAGAGAGAGAGAGAGAGAGAGAGAGGGGGGGGAACAGAGTGTGCGTGTGCGCGCGTGCGAAGGGATTGCACTCTCGGCCTCAGGATAGATAGTTAGACGCCATGACCGCTGATTCATCGTGTACTTTACAGTCCGGACAGTTCTGTTAGTTCGACTTAATTTTTATTTTGAAGCGATAGGATCTTGTGCATTTTCACGGTACTTAACTAACTATTACGGACAGCACAGCCCTACCACACCACAAGCCCTTGCCCCCCCAGAGCCCGTGTGACTCACATCTTTGGAAAATAACGCAACTCCAGAAGGTCTATTACACACACATACACACAAAAGAATTACATAACCTTTCCCCTCCTCGCACGCACCTACATACATACATACGTTCACGCCTATGTAACATGCACACCGCGCTCTGATAAGGAGCCATAATAGACAGCGTTCCCATTCCCCGCTCCCGCGGCGGCAGACGGCTCCGCTAGCCAAATGTCGTACAATACAATGCGTTCATGTATAGCGCAAACACAGCACAATGACGTACATGCCAGCTCGTAAAATACATAACGTCAATGGACGTCAACGGAACTCTCAGCTTAAATACAAACGAGTAACGCCAGCAGTAACGCCAGCACTGGGATGCAAACCCTGTTTGCTGGGGGGAGGTTAGCCGGGGGCCGGGGCTGGGATTTGACTTTGCATGACGTTGCCCCTGGCCGCGACACACAATTTACAGCATGTACTGCACGCCGTACTATACGTACGAGGCGGAGCACAGCGATGGAAGCAAAACACGCCAGCGAGCGTGTCCTAACCATCTCCAATCGCGTTGCTGCTGCCACCGCAACTGCTGCTACTGCTGCTGCTCATGTTCTTGATACTGCTGCGTTCTTTGCGCGCAAGGGGGAAAGGATATAAGAGAGGAGGTGTGGCTGTGACAGGATTTGTAGAGGGCGTGGTGAAACCAAAGAGCGCCGCAAGGGGGGGGGGAACACGAGGGGGGGAACACGAGGCATCAAAATCGTCACCCCCTCACCCCAACGGCCGCGTGATTCGAAAAACACAAACACGAACTTGGACGACGCGAACCCCCCTCCCCCCCTCCGTCCTCTTAATGAGGCATAGTAAAGGTGTTCGTACATAATAAGTCAAGTGTCGTACCATGCGTCGTACCATGCGCCGCTAGGGGAGAGCAGCTGCAGTTTGCTGCTTGGGCCACATCAATTATTACTTCCTTCGTAACTGAAACCTGCTGGTCACCTGCATCCAAGTGGATCTGGATTCTGAATCCAACGCTTGCCACGCCATCGTACGCAGGCGGTCTCGACGTGCGTGTGTCGTACATCCCCCAGAGGACAACGTAGTGATCGCTCTGATGATGCCTTTCCAGTCTAGCAGTGCCTCGCAGTAGGCTCGCAAGTCCTCTTTCGACAATGATAAGGTACGGCAGGATGTAACAGCTGTACGGCGACATGGAGGTCCCGGAAACTTAGAGCTCCCACAGGCTGCGTTCACTGCGCATCCTTGTCCTTTAACCGCACAAGCTCCCCCTAGGCCGCAGAGACACACACACACACATACACACATACACACATACAAACACACCTACCGTCTAAGGGACGTCGCAACCAGGCTCCCACCCAACGCCTTCTTCCCCCCTCAACCCCAGCCCCTTCTCCCTTTCCGTAGCGACTGCCGCTGGATCATCAGCGCGCTCCGGAACCACCATCAGGCCGCCGCCGCATTGCATGCCGTTGCGCGCGAGCTGTAGCGTCATCGCCGTACAGCTGAAGTGGGGGCTGCTGCTGCTGCTGCTGTTGCTGTTGCTGTTGCTGTCGCTGTTGCTACTGCTGCCGCCGCGCCGCCATGATGACCGAGTCCTCCGACCCATCCTCGTCCTCAACGTCATCGTCATCGCCACTGCCGTCATCGCCGCTGGAGCGCATCGCCGTAGGGCCCGTCAGCACCAAGGGGGTGGGCGCCGAGCTGGGCATTGTCGACCAACGCGGTCCAGCACCCGCCGCTCCCCGCGGGCCCTGGCTGTGTACGGAAACCAGGCCGCAGGGCGCCGGCGGCGGTAGCGCCGCCGTCGCCAACGCTGGACTTGGTTGTGACGGCGGTAGACCTGGGGGGTTGACGGCGGCGGCTCCTCCGCCGCCGCCGCGACTATTACTGCCGACGGCACCGCGGGAGCTTGTGCTTAGGGCGCGTCGGGTAGCGGCGACGTTGCTGTCGGCGATGGCGGAGCCGCTGCCGCCGCCGCCGCTGCCGCCACCGCCGGCGGCGCCGGTGGCGTCCCCAACGCCAAGCCCGTTGAGGCTGCCCGTGGTCTGTTCCCGCCGCTTCATGCCGCCCCCTGCGGACCCCAACTCGTCCACAAGCCCCGGCAAGTCGGCTGGTTGCACCCGCTGCGATCAAGGCATGTACCAAAGGTCGTTGCAAGTTGGTTTGCCGAGTGGTTGCACGGCCAACCGTTAATGGGTGGCCGCTGGTTGTTAATAGTCGTAGTTGTTTGGATAGGGAACATGTACGGGAACAGCGAAATGCGCTGCAGTACAACGCAACGCAGTGTATTGCCGTGTGGTGGGGGAT